ATGCACTATTTTTATTTCCCAGCTGAAATGAAGAAGGGGTCCAATTTCTTCATATTCTCAGAAACACTGATTTTCTGTTTTTATTTTTTAATAATAGCCATCTAAATAATGTGGTGTTTTTAACTTTTTGGATCATATATGGTTTTGATCCCTGTCACTTTTATTGCTATCATTGCTTATTTTAAATATATTACTTTTCAAATCTCATGTTCAAATCTCAAGAAAAACATTGATCTCCAAAATAGAAGTTACTTTCATCTGTAAAATCTACTGGTTGGGGAACAGTTTCATTCAAAGACCACACGATTTTGTTCCACAATGAACTTGAGTTAGAAAAACAAGGTTCTAGGCTCGGTTCCACTTGGGTCTGTAGGTAAAGTCAGTAAATTGGAGCACATCTTGGGGTCAGTTTTTTATGAAGTTAGCTTAGGACACATCCTCAACCCCTAGCAATCTCACAGCTCACCTGGAGCCTGGATGCACACAAGGAAGAGTGCGCTGACTAAAATTTCACCAGGGTCTCATTTTAAATGAATACGTACAGTACAGGGCTACTTGAAAGTGCAACTAAGCCCATTACACTTTGTTCTCATGTGTGTCAAAGAAGCAACATATGAGAGAGGAAAACATGAATATCAAAGTTACTTAAACAAGCTATGCTATTTATAGGACCTGAGTTGGCATTGAAAAACATTTTTTCTGCAATTATTAGAATATTAGTGACTCCCTTGAGACAATGTCAATGTAATAAGCCTGATGGGAGCTTGGAGTTATGAGAAAGATAAATGGTCTATCTGTCTAACTTCCTTGACACAGGTACCAATTAGGAACTCTAACAGAAACTCTGAAGACTGATTTATTGATTTGTTTTATTTGACTCTTGGAGGTTCTAAGTCACGATTCCCAAAGGTCTTATTAAATTGGTTGTTATACAGTATGTTATTTAAAATATCTATGAAATGAAGGGATAAATTATATGATACTACGGATGACAGTCTTTCTAAGCAGAATGCAAGGTTCTAGTCGAGTGTGCACATGATGTAGATGCCAGTATCAGTGCTCCAAGTCACATTTGTTTATGGCACACCCAGGGAAGGACATTTAGCTTCATATTTAATCAGAAGTTGTAGAGCTCAGATAATGTCAAATGGGAAATGCACAATTGAAAAAACCACCATAGCTGAATAGTTGAAGTCTGGGGAGAGTGGTAATGAAGGAAAATAAAGTAATAGAAAAGAAACGACAAAATGAATTGAATGCAAACCCCAGTGGAAATTCACATTTAAGGTTAGTTAGACTTAAAGGAGTCATCAAAGGATGCTGAAGAGAGACAACTCACAGACACAAGAACAAAACCAGAATCAGGATATAATTGGAACTGCAAGAAATGTTTTCCAGAAAAGTAGCATGTTGATTTCCATCAACTGCTGCCATGAGCTCACGTGCAGGGTGAAGGAGAACCCAGGCAGGACCTGGGTCATAAAAGTCCTAAGAATAGTAGTCAGTAATACATAGACTCTGCACATAGAAGAGGGGTGAGCACCCCAGTGTATCTCTGTCGCTGCACAAATATAGAGAATTAAATCTCCCAATTCAGGGTAAGTTCAGCCTAAATGGCTCAGATTCTGTTCAGAGACATCTTAACTTCAAGCAACTGTGTAACAGAAGAACAGACTTGTTGCTCCCATAGCTCCTATGGATGCATCACATGAGTCTCCACTCCATGTCACACATCTTGGCATTATTTCTGTTTTGGGACTAACTGTTTAGGATTTGCAAACTGTGGAATCTGCAAGTGAAAAACCACAAGTTGGGTCAAAGTTTGTTATACTGACAAAAGATAAAGATTTGCAGAAGGTAAGACCCACAAGTGAAGAAGGAATTTCTTCTGTTCCTAGAACTCACCTGCTACTTTGTAGAAGGCATTTCTGAGCACAGCTTATAAGTGCTGTGGCAGAATTGGGTAGAGCTCTCCCCATATTCTGGTCTTCTGAAGTGGGGTACTTGAGACACTCTGATCCTCATGCAGAACGCTCTGTCTCTATCTCACGTGCATAATGCTGGTAACAATAATTGATTTGGAGGCCACATGGGCAGCAATTGTATGTTCATAATATTGTGTTTCTTTGCTTTAAAACTCCTAATATTGTAACAATAGTTCCAACAGAAAAAGGAAATCTGACTCCATAAACCTTAGAATAAGTGTACATTGTTAATGGAAATATCTTTTTTGATATAGAAGAATTTCATATAACAAATAATCCTTACTACCTTCATCTTCCCTAACTTCTTCTGAAAAAAACTATTTTCCTAGAAGCCAAACTTCCACTTCTGGCTCAAATCAAGTGTTGCTTACTTGGTGAAATCCTCAATCACTCTGTGTACTCGCCGAGAGAGAATTCATTTTCTCTTCACAGAAGTCCCAGAGCCATTAGCTTGTACGCTGTCCTGACGTGACTAACATACCCTTAACAGGAACACTTGTTTTGCTTTATTTATTTTTTTCCTACTAGCCTAAAAACTCTGTGAAGGAACTATCAGACAAAGAGAAATACATAGATACCTCTAGCACTATGTGATATAGATATAAAATAAGTTTTAGCAGAAAAATAGCACACACTAAAAATAGTAAGTACATCCAGTTACCCGCCTACTCTTCACTCACTGTAGAGATGTGGTTGCAAAGACACAGCTACATGTACATGGAGAGCCCGCCAAGACAGAGATCCATCACCAATTTGCTCTATTTTTAGAGACACTGGGTAGCAAGACTTCAACAACTATTCTTAGTGGAATAAATAAGAGAAAGATCTTCTGAGAAGCTTCACTGCAAGCTACCAACCAATTCCTTTTCATGAAGATGTGAGAAGCTTATTTTTATTTCTATAAAGCCAATAAGCTACCACAGAAGAACTCTGAAATCATTAAGTGAATCTAGAATGTATATTTGTGAAGGGGTGCTACCAAGTGTCCTTCATTGAGAACCAGTTACTCTTCATCAATAGAATAGAGCAGGTATTTAATGAGTTGCATCTGCTTGTCTGAATGAAAGGCTGAGATCTGGTTCTGTCATTTCCTCTGAAGCATATCATACTCTGGTTCATAGTTATTCAATATTTAAGCTCTTTTCTTTATCTCTCTTCTAACTTTGTGGAGAGGTTTTCTTTGTATTTGTATTCCTCTACCACAACCCAACCTGAAAATATAAGGGAGCACCCTCTAACTCAAGGCTGTAGATAGAAGGCTGGCTTACTGCTGTCCAAATGTCCTTTCTGATTGATGAGAGCAAAAATAGAAAACCAGCTTTTGGTATGTTCCCTAGTTATTTTATCTCATGCGCACATGACCATATTTTAGATTAGGCTTTGCTTAAAACTCATGGATCCTGCTCAGCCCCAAGGCCCCTAAGATGTACTGTACATAAAGAATGACATCTCCTGAAGAAAGTATTAGTGCACCATTGAAAAGTCACAATCAGAATGTCTACCATCTGTGGAATATTTATCATGCACTTGGAATTTTATGTAAATGATATCTGCACAACAATGTTCCAATGTAGAATTTGTCATCTACATGTCACAGATGACAGCACTGAGGCTAATGTTAGCCAGAACCTGAGGCCCAATATGAGAAGACATGTATGGTTACAGGAAATGGGACTGGTCAATGAAATGACATGGGATTGCAATCAGAGCCCGAAAGAAAAAAGATTGTGGGGCACAATAAAGAGCAAAGTAGTTTATTCTACAGAGAGAAAATTAGAGTTTTGTCCTGTATAGAGGATTGCTCTTTCCAAAACACAGAGGCATAGAAATCTTGAAGATAGCAGAATGGGAAGATTGGGGCATGGGTATTAGGGTCACCAGTGTGATAGAACAAAGCTTGGGGGAAGACTCATGCTGCTCTGGCCCTGCCATCACCTCTCTGTCACTATCATTTCTGCGCAGAGAGGTACCTGTGAAGTGCTGTGACTGAACTATGGCATAGGGAACGTGGCTGACTAGCTTGGGTTGGCGGAAGCTAGGGGAAGGAGAAGGGGCCAGATGTAGAACTCCACACGGATGCTTGCAGACAATGCCCTCCAAGCCATATCCCTTGTGAGCCCCTGCCTCCCGGAGAAGAAAGGCCCACAGCCAAGGAGCCTATAGTCAGAGGCAAGCTCAAGGCAAAGTTGAAGCCTCTTTCTACCCAGGATTCTGTGGGGAAGCCCAATGGCTTCAGTCCCAGTAGATATCACTTATCCAAGTACGATTATTAGCAGTATACACTTCATTCACAAGTGAGTCCCTATTTGGATGAAAAATGCATGGTTCCTCTAAAAATATGAGTGTGTCTATCTCCTCCTAATTTTCTTTTATTCTAGTGATCCTACAACCTTTATTAGAGGAGTTGGCAACTTCATCACATTAAGAAGGGTCCTATGACTCGTTGGACAGCAACGTACATGACCCTGAGATCAGTACTTCTCAGACCCATTGGTCCCAGTGGAACAGCAACCATACTTCATGTATCACCAATCATGTCTTACTGAATGTTTTGTCTAGAACAAATGAGTAAATGAATTAATGAATAGATAAGTGGAATATGATAATGTGATATACTCAACTAGCCTAACACACCAAGACCATTTACTGTTTTTAATTGAATACTTGAGATTTAACTTCCTTATTAGTAGGAAATCAAGAGTATCCCTTGTGAAGCATTTCTTGTTCCCCAGTCAATAGTTCAAGACCTCTAGGGCTACAGCTCCAAGAAGTCAGTGTTATTCCCACACACCATGCTCCTGCATTTCTTGTGGCCCCACAGTGCTCTGTGGTCATTTGCTTCTGCCCAGCTCACACTCTTTCACTGCCCAGATCCTTGCAGGCCCTGCAATGTGAAATCATACTCACATGGGTACAATGGTCCCCAAAGAGCCTCCCTGTCCTGGGAACTTGGTCTTTCAGCAGGCTTCTACCTCTGCTGTCTACAGACCATTATCAGGCCTCAGGCTCTAGTACTCAGATCCTCAATATTCTGGGAATCTCCAGCACAGAATCTTTAATATCTTCATAAAAATTTCTCATCTCTTCTCTAGAAGCATACTTCTGCTCAAAGTTGGAAGCATTAGTTTCCTAAATTGGAAGAAACAAAATACACAAAATGAGTGCAAAAGTTTATAGGTGGATTCCTTGGGAGATCCCATGATTACATTTTTACCATTGCTGCAAAAATAGACACATTCTGTTCTGGAGATCAACATTTTCAAATACCATGGTGCCAAGTATCTGTTCCTATATATTAGTCAGGCAGTTAGAGCTACTAAAAGCACCTGCAGCCTCAAACAAACATCCCCACCCTCATCAGGCAGGAAGTGCTGCTGAGAGTCTGAGGAGGACAAACTGTTGAGTTTGTGCAAGGGCAGGAAGTGTCTCTTTGAGGCCATGGCTTCAGACTTGGTGGCTGCTGGTATACAGACACACACCCAATTGTCCCGGCTGCATGAGCTGGATCTTCAGAGTGGCAGACAATCCCTCAGGCATCTCAGCTGAGAATAGATCCTTGAAATGGTCTGCCTTCTCCAAAGGAAACGTGTTATAGAAAGAAAACAAATCCTTTTTCTGGGGTTTGGGAGTAACAAAAAGTGGAAAATGACCAGAAATAGGGTCACACCTAAGCTATACTCTGTCCTCTGTCTGTGACATCATGACTGGGGGTTTCCCGAGGAGGAGTTAGTGAGCAAAAAGTGAATGAAGCAAAAATTTCAAGTTACAAACTTGGGTAAATGCAGGATGAGAATATCCCAAGCACATCCAGTACTAGCCTGCACCCAGGAGACAGAAGAACATCCAGCAGAGGAAGATACTGTCCATGGCAGGGTGCAGTGTAGCTGAACCCAATCCCAGCTGAGGGTTTGGGTGCTAGAAGTCCATGGGAGGAGATCTGATTATGTCATTGCCAGTACTGCACCCCCATACCCACCCCCAGGACCATTAGGAGAGCATGCTATCATGAACAGGATAGTCCCCCAAGGTAGCCCCAGGAGTGTCATGAAGCATGGTGTGTGCATGAAACAGCATGCTGAGAGGGGTCCTCTGATGACACAGTTTCAGGACATAATCCAAATGTTTCACTGTATAGTAAGCTTGCTTTATTTCACAGTTAAAAGACATTAAAAAGCCTAGATTCAAATGTGTTTATCTTTTTACCAGTTTACACAGCAAAGCCACAAACAAGTAAAAGAAACCCCATATTCTAAATATGTGTAGAGAATACAGTTGCCACATTGGTCGAATTGCAGGTGGTATTATGGTTTGTAACTTCTGTCTGGGGTCTTACAGGAAATGTTCAATAAAGACCTCAATTCCCAAAGCTTCCTGGATGGACCTGTGGGTTTTTGCACAAGGAGGTGGTGACTCTGTAGGGCTGTGTCTTGACTACTAGCACAGAGATACACAGCTGAATCTTTGGGCTCCAGGAAGGTCATGTGAAGTAATAAGTGAGAGCTGTCAGGACATTCAGGTGAGAAGCAACTGGGCACAGTCTCATTTTGGGTAAGTTGCTGAAGGTTGTACATAAACATGAGCTCTGGAGGCTTCTTAGCATTCTGTTTATACCAATACATAGCATTATGTATGTGGTGCCACCCATGAACCAGGCCCTAGGGATAGTGCTAATGGGAGCATAAAAGGGGTGACCCAGCCTCTGTCCCTATAGTTGAGGGTATGGGGCTTGGCTGGGCTTAGAGCAAACACACTGTACACATATGCTGAGAGGGAACAACATAAGCATTTGATGCAAAACAAAGAGGATCAGATTATGAATTGACATTAGTGTCTTTGCGTTATCCCATCTGATGTTCCCAATTGATGTGAGAATGAAGTACAGATGGGCAAACTTCTCTTCTAGACCACCTTCACTTACACCCTCCTCCAGTCCCAGCTGCAGACATTTTACCAGTGCACAGCTCCTCCCTGTGGAAAAAGCAACACATCTCCACATCACACAATTCTTGCTTCAGTAACCCAGAACTTACCACATTCCATGTAACAGGAACAGCTGGGCAAGCAGAAGACAGAAAAAAAACAAACCTGAAGCACCAGAGAGAGTCAGCAGCTGCAGTAGTCCAGTCACCCATGCCCGGGACACTGATTTTTACTCTGTAGAGATTGACTGTGTCAGCACCCTTAGCAATGAGCAAAACTAATATTGATTATCCAGTCCAGGGTAACTTTTAGATGAGCTTGGTTGGGTCATTACTCTCTGGCAACATCCAGGGGCAATCATGAAGACATCAACATTTTATACATATGATTCTATTATTATCAGTGTAATTAAATACAGTCACTGATAACCACTAAGAAATATAAATATATAGCATATGAAGTTGAAGAAAGGTATTTGATATTTCATTATTTAAATTACTTTATTGATGTGATTCAATATTTCCTCTATAAAATTATCAAGGAAAATGAAATGAAATGACCTTCAACCTTGTCCATTTCTGAAATGTTAGGGACCAAGCCACCCTTATTAGTTCTTCAGATAACTTTTCAATTTGAGACTAGTTGGGATATCCTGTGATGGTGGTATATAATTTTCTGTAGAAACTGTGTGCTCTTTTTCACCAGGTTTTGTAATCTTCCTTCAAATGCACTGTTATGCTAATATTGGGTTTTATTATAGAAAAGTTGAAGGTGCAAATAAATATAATCAAATGATTCATAATCCCAATTGATTTTAACAGTGTTTATTGTTATGTTGTATAGCTTTGCCAAATTGTAATGATAGCTATGTTTTTTAGCTTATGGCTAAGTTAAAGTTATTAATCTCTGTTATATAGAAACCTGTGTTTAGGGTAGAAGGACAGTTAACTATTTAAGTCAAGGCTTGATAATTAAATTCCTTAACACGAGGATGTGATGAATCAAAAAGAAAGTACAGCATTTTCCTAATGTATAATTTTCTTAAATTTTCAACTTAATCCATATTAAATTATATGGATTAGAATTTAAGGAAAGGGAGTAGGATATTCTCCCCCTGAACACACTATTTATACAATAGCTCTCCATCCTTTCACACTTGGAGATATTCCATTCTTTGATAATAATGTAAAATCAAGCCTGGTTTAAAGAGTTGTACTTTATTACTATTTAAATTACTGCAATAGGGAGCTACTTCAGCAAGGAGACACTTTGGTTCTTCCTCAAAGAAAGAAAAATTCAAGAATAAGTAAAATTGTCTTTCATTATTTTCCCCTAACAGGTAAACTAAATGCCAAAGATTACAAAAACCAGTAGAATTTAAACTGAAACCTTGAATCATGATAGTGGAAGGCTGGGTTTCCCAGAGAGCAGCAGCTGCATTTTCCACAGCAGGTGTGGATAAAGTGAGTTTACTTCATCTGAATTAGGGAACAAACCATAGAAGAAATTGACCTCAGAACCATTCTTCTTCTAAAATGAAGAAGTGAACAGTAGAATGACCATGAAGCAAATTAAGAATAAGCATGTTTATATAATAATAATAATAATAATAGCACATGCTACTTGAAGATTAATAAAAGACAACTGATTATGACAGCTGGGGTACAGAATTCTGAAAAGGATCCCCAAGAACATGTACAATGAAATCTTGTTTTCTGTTTTTTTCTGTGCCAGTTCTTAAGTTGTGTGTGCATAGGAAGGGGCACCAGGAGGCTGAGCAAAGAACATGCTCAGACATCTGGAGAGATGAGCACGGATTTCAGAAGACACACGAACTGAAAAACATTAGCATTCAGACCCGTCACTAGTGAAAGACACTAGGGACTATGGTTTGATTTCTACCTCATAAACTTCCAGAAATGCCATGTACTAGAAACAGGACCACAGGTAGGACTACCTAGTAGGGGAGGCAAAACTAAAACAGACTCTAGAAAATCCTACATACACACCAACTAGCATAAAAACTAGCACTCTTTACAAGAAAATTGCATAACCCAATTGCTACCATATATAATCCACAATGCCCAACATAAATTCCAGTATGAGACTTTTTTGTAGAATATTTTAGAAGCCTTCTTTTTTTGTACATTGCCCATAAAAATCTATTACCCTAGTTGTTGTTGTATTAAAAATACAGAATTGATCACGTACTCTTACTTATATGGGACCAATAATTAACTAATGCATAGGGATTTGTGACCAAAGTCCTCTCTATGTCTCACAAAATTCTCTACCATCTGACTTCTGATTTCTTGTGTGAAAGTTTCAAAGATGAAACTCGCAGAATTGGGAGAGAAACATACTGGCTATCCTCTTTACAGAAACTTCAATGCACAAGATGTCTTGACTGCTCTCTTACTCTTCCTTTCTAGTTTGTCTATTGCCTTGAACTGTCATTCTTCTGCATACAATTTTCCATTAAAATAGGGAACACGATCATCTGAATTTCCTTTGGATCTTAGAAGCACTTATCCTTTCCCCTCTTCTTTAGGCTTGTGCTCATGAAACATTTTAAGTATCCATGGGCCTTCAATAATAATGTTGTGGAAATAGCACCACTATGTACAGTAGAGAAAGATAAAGAATGGCTTCTTCCACCAACTGAAGTCTTCAAGGTCAGTCATTGTGGAGCCCTAAGTATTTGAATGACTTTACTAAAAACCCATACACTAGCTGAGAAGCAGAATTTTGTAAGACATCGGTGTGCATGCCGGGCGTCAGTAGCTCACACCTATAATCCTAACTATTCAGGAAGCAGAGATCAGGAGGATCACAGTTAGAAGCCAGTTGGGCAAATAGTTTGTGAGACCCTATCTCAGAAAAACCCTTCACAAAAATAAGGTTGGTAGAGTAGCTTAAGATAAAGGCCCTGAGTTCAAGCCCCAGTACTGCAAAAAAAAAAGCACTGAACTTATTTTGTGAACAGGAAGGCTAGACCATGGAATCTCCATTCTGGTCCCTAAAGGACTAGAGAATGGAAGTTCAGGCACAGTCAAACACATGGCCCCACAGCTTCCTGGCTGGCCAGGAGGTTTCTGTATAGGTTGACAGTGACTCTGCAAGGCTGTGCCTTGACTGCTGGCACAGAGATACACAGCAGAATCCTCCGGCTCCAGGGACTTGACATGAAGGTTTAAATGAGCCTTGTCTGGAGATTCAGGTGAGAAGCGACTTGGAACTGTTTCATTTAAAGTTAGTTCTTTCACATTGTAGCTAAACATAATCTTCAGCAATTGCTTGGAGTCCTGCTTATACCAGAACATAGAATTGTGGCCCAGATTTTGTTCACATTTAAGACAGATTTTGTTTCCCACATGTGTGATGAGGTATTTTGGAGACTGGGAAACAGCTGTTTCCACAGAGCCTGTGAAAGAAAGGAACAGAATTCAAGGACATTCCAGGATGTAGTCATTGCTGTAGGCATGGTCAAAGGACACAAACAGAATCATGCCACCTGTATCCAGGACGCACCTGCTCCCAGGAGGCAGAGCGCCACACAGCAGAGGACCTGGGAGATCATAGTAGGATCGGGGCAGCCTAGGACAGGTCCTAACTCAGAATTATGGTCTGGAGCAGTAAGATCAGGCTGTAGGCTCCACCACAGCTGTCACATGGTGTGCCTGTGATGTCATTGCCTGTGATGATGTCCTTGTCCTCAGGCTCTCCTCTAACACTTCTCTTACTCAATACAAGGTGTGCTTGCTCAATACAAAGTATGTTCAGACTTTCTAAGGAACGAATGGGTGGAGACCATGTTCTACTTAAGGATATGTCTCTCAGTGGTTCTTAAATCAGCAGGTGCCTCCCTGCCCTTTCTCTGTCCCAGGGGCCAGCCACTGTTTCCATTTCTCTCCTTTTAGGCATCAGACTCAGAGTAAGGTTGGATTCCCTTTTCTGGATGTTTTATTTCCCTTCACAATAATGTACAATCATTCCAGTCAAATCTTGGCTCCCATGAATGTCTGAATTATACTTGATGGCACCCTGACTACTAGGTATGAGCAAGAGATTTACCTGAGAGCTCACCTTATAACCATTTATAGCAATTTATGACTCATGACTGTGAAGATAGGAACCATCTCATCTATGGGTTCTTGAGGGGAATATCCTACAGCCCTGTTCCTTATTATATTCTCTGTCCAAGGGGCAGGGCTCTGTGGGGCTCTGCTGTGAGATAAACATGTCCCTGTACGTTGGGAATATGGTTACAGGGACCAATTGCAGCACTAAAGTTGGGCAAATATGGGTAGAATGATTTCCTGTTCTTGAGTTTCTAGAGGTACCCAATGCCTGGGTCTCTCTCTCTCTCTCTCTCTCTCTCTCTCTCTCTCTCTCCCTCTTTCTCTCTGTCTCTCTCCCCCCCCATCCTTAGCTATATTACTAACTTCTGGAGAAACTCATCCAAAAGCCAACCCATGTGGTTCAACTGCATTTTACTGAACACTGAACTGTGAACAAAAGAAAAAATGGCTATTGTTCTTTCTGAAACTTGTAACATTCTTTATTTGTTGCTGTCATTGAATGCCAACTTAGTACAAAGTAAGGAAGACAACAATCTCACTCTTGTGATGCTAATATTCTGATAGTAGTAGGCAGAAATGCAGATTACTTGTGGAAGAAAGTTGAGATACATATCATCCAGAAGTCAAGAATATAAGGCAATATTTATATTTAAATACTTTATGTAGCATCCCATTTTCTCATTTATAAGCTACCGGTTGAAATACATAATTTTTAGCAATCTGTCCAGCTCTATAATTCTGAGTATTTATCCAGTGTTTTTAGCACTTAGGTCACTGCACAACACAATTTATATGTGAATCCTTTCAAATGAGGAAAGAAAGAGGAGGGAGAGAGGAGAACAAGGAGGCAGGCAAGGAGGGAGGAAAAAAAGAAGGAAGGTAAAAATAATAGGATTAAAAAACAAACAACAAAGGAGAAAGAAAGGGGGATGACAAGACAGTACATGTCATGGTGATTATGATCATATAAAGAGGTGACCAACCTTTTTGTGTGTGTGTGTGTGTGTGTGTGGTACTGAGGTTTGAACTTAGGGCCTTCACTTTAAGCCATACCACCAGCCCTTATTTTGTGATTTTTTTTTTTTCGAGATACAGCCTTGCCAACTATTTGCCCGGGATGGCTTCAAACTGTGATCTTCCTAATCTCTGCCTCCCAAGTAGTTAGGATTACAGGCATAAGCCACTGGCTCCCAACTCTGGCTAGCCTTAAGATTTAAAATAGTTATTTATGATATTATTTTATGCAAGTGTTCTGGACAAAATCAGGTGGAGAGCCCCTGAAAAGATGCTGAAATGAAACTGATGTGAAGAAACTTGCCTCATATAAGGTAGTGTTAGTTCTGGTTATACTTGTATGTATTTTTACAAGAATTAGAAAACAAGAAATTTAAATTTATCTGTCAAGAATTGCCCAAAGGATAGAAGGAAATAAATAAATGGTGTTTTACACCTACTTTTTGACAGAGCCAGTTAATTTGGGGGAGGAAAAGCCTGAACAGAAAAAAACCCAGGGCTGATGCTGGTGTCCCTGGCAAAACACGAGCTTCAATCAAGGAAGTAAATGAGGGAAGAAAAATGAAAGTTTAACATGGAGATATCTTAATCTGCAAAAGGTGGAAAGTTATAGGGCCAGTGGGAACAAGGTAGAAGGCTAGAGAAGAATTAGAAGTGGACTGTGTGACATTCAGATGTCTATTTTGGACATTGATTGTGACTTTCACCTTCCTTAAGTTCCTTATTACATTTGGGCCATTCCCCAAAGCCTGAATCTTACTGAAAGGGTGTGTGTGTGTGTGTGTGTGTGTGTGTGTGTGTGTGTGTGTGTGTGTTTATGTGTGTGTGTGTGTGTGTTTTAGTAACAAAACCTTCCCTTCTAGAAATAAAACCTCGATCGTTGTCTTTGTTTTTGTCACTTCTGCAAGGACACAGCTCTACCTGGCAGGCCTGTCTCCTAAGATAATGGGGGATCCTGTGCTAAGTGCTCTGACAAAACAGGATGGAGGGAGATTCTCCTCTGCCAGATCATGTCAAATGGAGTCATCTATGGCAGAGAGGGTCATAATTATTCTAGTGCCCTCAGATTCTGTCTCTTCCTTCATTGATACTCAAGGTTAGTTTCTCAGGTCTGCAAGGCAGCAAGGGCCAGGACACTGTTTCCACTTTGCTCACGTGGCTGCAAGTTACTGCTGCCTCTGACCCTGAAAGAAAAATCAATTTTCTTACTGCCAAAAATATAAAAGTCCACATACACATACTAATCTTATACTTGCCAGCTACCAATTTTCCAAGGGAAACTCAGATGAAAGCCAAATGGCACTATTTGTTATAGTATATTTATCCTTCACCTGTATAAATTATCAGTTTATATTATTTGCCTCATTAGCTATCAAACACTTGTTTCTCAATTAAAATATTTACATTTACTATTTCTTCTAGTATGTAGATTATAAATGTTTAATTTATAATCATTTGAAAGCAACAGTTAACAAAAAATAAATGCAAGACTATTAAATGCATACAATATTTCTTAACTTTAAAAAATTATATGTCACTTTAACCAGGTGTCTCACGTCTATAATCCTAGCTAATTGGGAGGCTGAGATCCAGAGGATCAAGGTTTAAGGCCAGCCTAGGCAAATAGTTTGTGAGACCACCAACTCCAAAACAACCAGAGAAAAATGGACTGGAGTTGTGGATCAAGTGGCAGAGTGCCTGCCTTGCAAGCATGAAACCATGAGCTCAAACTCTAGTCAGACACATAGACACACATGCACATACAAACTATATATTACCTGTCTTGTTACTGGGAAGAAAATACAGATGTTTTGTGGAGGTGGGAGGGTGGAAAATCCAGGAACTTGAATTCCCACAACTCAGGTTAAATTTACTCACTTTTACTTTTTTCACTCTTTTTATTAGTGAATATTAATTGTACACAGGGGTTTCAATATATTTCATACAGGCATATAATGTACTTTGATCAAATATATTCTATTACTTTCTTATATTTTCTCCCCACCTTTTTTAACATTTTTAAATGGGTTCCATTTTTCTAATTTCATACATAAGTACATGATTAAAGCACTTTGGTCATATTGACCCTTCACCCTCTCCTTGTCCCCTTCACCCCTCTGTGAGTTACCACCCCCGAAAGTTCTCTTGTTTTACACTCTTATTATTCTTTCTTTTAGTTCTAGATTCTGTATAAAAGAGACAACATGCAATATTTGTCTTTCTCCATCTGGTTCAGTCTCGTTCTATACATTGTACTGCAAATGACATAATTCTATTTTTCTTAATGTCTGAACAATGTTCCACTGTGTGTATGTACCACATTTTCTTAATTCATTCTTCAGTTGATGGGTACCTAAGGTGATTCCATAGCTTGGCTAATATGAAAAGTATTCTTATAAACATGAATGTGCAAGTAACTCTTTTGTATGAAAACTTACATTCCTTCAGATACATGCCTGAAGTAGGATAGCTTGAATAAATGGACTTCCCATTTTTAATTTTTTGAGGTACCTCCATACTGATTTCTGTAGTGGCTATGCTAATTTATGTTCCCACCAACAATGTATAATGGCTCCTTTCCCCCACATCCTCACCAACATTTGTTGTTGCATGTTTTCTGAGTGATTGCCATTGTGCCTGGGGTGAAATGGAATCTCAATGTGATATGATTTCCTTTGAACGTTTCCATGTGTATTTATAGGCCATTTGTGCTTCTTTTGAGAATTGTCTGCTCATTTGCTAACATTTAATTGGATTGTTTGCTCTTTTATTGTTTCCATTTGTGGAGATCTTTATATATTCTGGTTATTAATCTTTTATCTGATGAATAGCTGCCAAAGATTATCTCACATTCCATAGTGTTGTCTCTTGATCCTGGAAATTGTTTCCTTTGTTGTGCAGAAGCTTTATAATTTTATAGAATCCCATTTCTCAATTCTTGTTCTTATTGACTGAGGAATTAGAGTCTTATCCAGAAAGGAATGGCCTATACCTATATTTTCAAGAGTCTTCCCTATGTTTTCCTTAGTAGTTTTAAAGTTTTTGGACTTACATTTAGATCTTTGATACATTTTAAGTGAAGTTTGTACAGGTCAAGAAATAGGAGTTCTTCTATATGTAGGTGTCCAGTTTTCCCAGCTCCATTTGCTGAAGAAGCTATCTTCTCCAATGTAGGTTTTGACACCTATGTCAAAAGAAGATGGCTGTAGCTATGTGGGCTTTTTATCTGGATCTTCTGTTCAATTTTATTGGTATCTCTGTCTATTGTTGTACCATTATCATGCTGTTTTTGTTACTATGGTTCAGTAGTATAATTTGAAGTCAGGTGTTGTGGTACCTCCAACATTGCTTTTTTGCTCAGGATTGATTTGGCTATTTAGGGTCTTTTGTGTTTCCACATGAATTTTAGGATTGACTTTTTTATTTCTCTGAGAAATGACATTGGAATTTTTATAGGGATTACATTGAATCTGTAGATTGCTTT